GAATCCAAACTGGAAGCTGGTTCCACAGAAGAGGGGCCTGGACAAGCACAGAGATGAGTCCGCTGTCAGAGGCCATAAGAGGATCATTTATAATCTTCACTGTTTCTGTGATAAGCTTTAAGTTTTTCTTTGGTAATTTAGTTCAATGAGTTCCTTAATTTCTGATTTTTGTTGAAGATCTTGGGTGTAGTGAAGTTATGGAGGCACCACCCCCCTAATAAAATACCTTAATGTTGCATCAGCTCTTGTTTTTAGAGGAAAACTCACTATTTGTCGTCCATCTCGTCGTTTTACTTGTTTGTTTTGGTTATTTTTAGTTTACTAAGTAATAAAAGTGTTCACTGTGTAAAACCTGACCTCTAGAGTGAAATCCGTGTTTGTTTTGTGTTAGCTCACCACACAAGCCGTAGTCGTGTTGCAGTTTTGTTTCCTTTCTAATGTTAAGGTTTCTTTCTCTCATGTTTACACAGCACGGCTCCTGTAAATAAACTCAATGAGTCCACACAGACTGTTTCCTGTGTCTCCAGAATAACTGTCTGCAGTTGGTGTAATATTAATTCTGTCTAGTAGATTTCCACTACACAGATATGCCCTAAGTGCAACTCAGGAATGCTCGTCCCGCCAGCGTGTCGGACAAAGAATCTAATTGTTAGCTCTGAGAAAGCCTGGTAAAGACGGCTCACCATGTTAGTCAAAAATACGTGTGTGTGTGTGTGTGTGTGTGTGTGTATTGGAAAACACTAAACATGGCAGCATAGGAACAAACTGTAAGTCCATGGAGGCTGGGGTCTGCCACACCAGACAGCTGCAGGCTGCACATAACAGCAAGATGCTAGCAGGCAGGGCATACATGGAACGCCATAACCAAGTGACCGGCATAGTGTACAGGAACATCTGTGCCGAGTATAACCTGGAAGTCCCGAGGTCAAAATGGGAAATGCCCCCAAGGGTGGTGGAGAATGACCGAGCTAAGATCCTGTGGGACTTCCAGATACAGACGGACAAAATGGTGGTGGCTAACCAACCGGACATAGTGGTGGAGGACAAGTAGGAGAAGATGGCCGTAGTGATCAATGTAGCGACCCTGAATGACAGCAACATCAGGAAGAAGGAACACGAGAAGCTTGAGAAGATGTGGAGGGTGAAGGTGGTCCCAGTGGTAATTGGAGCACTAGGCAAGTGGCTCCAGCAGATCCTGGGAACAACATCGGAGATCTTTGTCCAGAAGAGCGCAGTCCTGGGAACAGCTAAGATACTGCGCAGGACCCTCAAGCTCCCAGGCCTCTGGAGAACCTAAAGACATGTTGAGGAGGTAGTTTATCCATTTAAATCAGCTGTGTTGGATCAAGGACACATCTGAAACCTGCAGGACACCGGCCCTCGAGGCCTGGAGTTCGACACCTGTGTATTAACCTGTTATCCAATAACAATGAAGGTGTGATTGGTTCATTTGATTTTTTTCCTTTCCTTTCTGTTTCCTGTCCTTTATTTAAACACAGATTGGTTTATATGTTATTATGACCCTGATGAGGGTCATAATAATGTTGTTCCTCTTTACCTTTAAGTGTTGCTGGAGTTCCTGTGGTGTTTGTTTCTCATGCACCTTAGAAGGTGAAGTTGTGCCAAAGATTTCTGTTGCTATTTAATCTGTGTACAAAAAAGATGTGAGTTTTTTTCCACTTTCTTCTGATTTTGGTGATGTGATGTATTTGCAGCACATTTGGAACATGAGTGAAGATGAACACAGAGGGAAACCGCTGCCTGGTGTCATTCAGTCCAGGCTCTGAACTCTGATTTAACCTTTGTTTCTCTGATGATAGTTTGAGGTTAACATT